AATGTAGCACAGAGCAGTTCAGGAGACCCACTGTCATTCAGAATGCCCATCAGGATGAAGCCACTTTCCCAGGTGGAGTTCCACAGCTCCATTCTGTGTGGGTTCTTTTGTTTCCTAGAACTGCATTAATTTTCCATGAATTTTTGCTTCCATCTGCTCCAAATATTCTAACATCAAATTTCCTAAGGAATTGTCAATATAAGTTAAAAGAGATTTCTCAATGGTATTTAACTTGACCTTCTAAATGTTGACTCTTATAATTCTATTAAAGAATCACCTTAGGTGAATACCAGTATTAAAAAATTTAGAAGTGAAGCATCTATTTTATAATTTCTCTACAATATGCATTATATACTTTGACATATCATTAATTTTTATTGAATTAGTACATTACTACGTTGATATAAAAATATAGACATAGGATCTGTTCTTCTATGTGCTTTTGAGATATATCCTAAAATAAATCAAAACAATTAATCAGAGATCAGCAGTCTACCAATTCTTAAGGCATATACTGAGATTTCCACAACAAATCTACATCTGGGTTATAACACAGACTTTTATTAGACTATATAGTTATGTGTTCCCTCCCTCAAGTTTGAAAAAACTACAATTACAGAGAAAAGTGGTATATAATTAAAAATATAAAGCACTAGAATGAACTAGCAGAGTAGGATGTATTCTTAGATCTGATTTAGACTATGTTTTCCAGTTCTGCATTTCCATGAAAAGAAGACAATCTTACCTCCAGTAATGAGAAGTCCAGTTGACAGAGAACCCAGACTATCTTGTGAGGTGTTTGAAGAAAAAGAATATTCCAGTGGAAATGTAGTGAAAAGATGGGACTTTTCCCAGCAGTATTCAGTTGGTTTCAGTGACAAGGGTCAATACCTCATCTATCCCTTCTATTATTCTTCTCCAAGTCTTCTTCAGCGATGTCAGAGGAAACATAAGGTATGGTTCTTGGATAGTTTCCCATTGAGCAAGAATATGACTTTCTTGTTTTCACACTGGTGAAGAAAAAGAGGAAAATATTTTTCTCACACTGTCTCCCAGTGATGGATCCCAACTGATTCTGGAGAATTTGTCAGTCTAACCCTTGAGTCCAATTGCTCAGACTTTCATTTGTGATGCTGAGTCTCGCAGTAAAGCTAAGTTAGAGGGGATGGATGTTAAGCAAACTGACCCAAAGAGGCCCTTTAGCAGTCAACCTTTCTGTCCCTGCAGCCAAGAGTGAGACAAGGTCTGTCCTGGGTACCCTGTACACTATCTTAAGGAGGAGTTCCTATCAGCTCCTCTTTCTATTAGGTTTTTACCCTAAGCCAGAGGAATTTATACTCTTCACTGAAATGACCAATCTTGTTAATTCTAGCCCAGGAAACATGATGTTAATGAGGTCTCTTGGGCATGTTTCCTGACCTGAAGTCCCTATTCTTTTTCTTTCACTAAACACTCTCTGAGTCCCTAGTGTTTAATCCTCCTCAAGGAATAGGGAGCCCTGGTGGCTTAGTGGCAAGAAGATGCACTGAAATCCTGAAGAGAAGCAGTTTGAGGCCACCAACTCCTCCACAGGAAGAGGATGGGTAATCTCCTCCTCACGTTTGATTAACTGCCTTTGTAAACTTGCTGGAAGGCCAGCTGTGGGTTGGTTCAGACTCTGTGGTACACAACAACAAGGGGAGGAGTTATGAAGAACTAGTAAGTAAAGAATTGCAGTGCCAACACAAAGGCAGACAGTTCACTGACAGCTTCTAAAGATCCACTGAGTGTCAGTTATGGAATAATTTCTGACTTTATGGCAGTGAGATAGAGAAGGGGAGCATTGATCTAGTTCTAGCATGATAATCAAATACAGTGTCAAGGCTTAAAATATGGATCCTTCCTATTTTTTCTCCTTTGCTCTAGATTATATGGCATGTGTGACCTGCTTCCCTGATTCATGATTTTCTTACCTTGGATTTTTCCAAATTCAATACTGCATTCAGTAGATTATATATCTAGCACTCTATTCACTGAGTTTGTGATAGGTTCTACATGTATATGTGTGTTGAAATCACTGCTTCTGTTATTAGTGAGCTCAATGATGTTTGAAGAATGAATGGACCTATTTCCAAGTATTATTATCTCAGTAAAGTAAAAAGAAAAACTGAAACTGGTGAATGTCAATGACAATGAACTCTTAAATGCTCCCAGACATAAAAGACAGATTATCTACTAAGTAAAGGCAATCAGCAGTGGAATTTTTATTGTCAGTAATGGGACAAAAGACAAATATCCCCAAAACTGGTAAGAGAATTCAATGGCATACATAGAATTCAAACTACAGCTAAAGCATCATGCAAGAATGAAAAATTCTAACTTTGTGCCATACATAGAAGTTGGAACAGACTCACACTGACCTCCAGTTGGGTTTCAGAGGCTATAAATCACGTGGAAGGAGATTTCCTACCTTTCTCCTGAAGAGCTGCTGTGGCTTTGAACTGCCAAAGAGGCATCAACTTAGGATTTGTAACACAACTTTCTAGAGACTGTAACACTAGTGTTCCATGTAAAAGTGAGGATACACCTGAAGTGCAATACATTTGAGATTCCTGGTGTTCTTGTACACATTAGTAGTTCTCCTTAATCTACAAGTTCATAGCTTATTTCATTTACCACTAGATAGGTATTTGAATTAATTCAAATCATATACAAGATTTTGAGTAAGTGAAAATTGTTTATTCTCTTGAGTGAATACAAGGAGTACAATTGCTAATTTGGATGATAGTGTATGTTTAAATTTATTGTAAGTAAGCTAACAAACTTTTTTCTTTAGACACTGTTCTTAAGTATCATTGAGTCAGAACAGGCTCATAGCTGACCCTACAGAGGGTTCTCAGAGACTATAAATTATAAAGGAAGAGATTGTCCATCTTTCTCCCACACAGAAGCTAGTGAATTAGAAATGCATGCCTTTGATTTGGAAGTGGAACTCCTTAACATTAAGCCACCAAATTTTCTTTCCATAATCACTACATCATTTTAAATTCTCAATTATAGTTTTACTTTGTATTTTATATATATTATAGCATATTGTAAAGTCTTTAATTTTTAACTCAAAGTTAAATAGTTTAAAAAAAGTTAAATATTTCCTGAGATCCTAAACTAAGTCTACTCAATTAACACTCAGGAAAAGTTTTATAAAGAGAACAGGATGATTTATGTAGGTAAAGAAATAATCAAAATGCAAAAACACTTTTTAGAAAAAAGTATATGTAACTACATACATGTAGTTAGTTGGTGATTAAAGACATCGTAATGATTAAATTATGTCTAGAAAGAAGTGTTGGTAGCATTCCTGAAATATTTAATATTTTTAAATGTATAATTTTAAATATTAGTGTATCTTCAATAAAGCTTAGTTTTAAACTCTTAATGTTTGTTATACTTACTGGCCATAATTGATGTCTTTAAAAATCACGTTTTTTTTAAATTTTATAAAACGCATAAACTACCTTTCCCCCCCAGATAGGTGATTTCTAAATCTCTGGCTTTGTTCCTTCTTTTGTGTTCATTCTAAAGTTACATTCCCAAAGTCTAAAAATATGACTCTTACAAATTTGGGATAATAGATATACTAAATTATTAATGTGGGAATCTTTAGTATGACAAAGCTGATTCAGAAATCTTTTAAGATATAAAAGTTTATAGATTTCATTCGGAAAGTATTTTAAAATGTTAGGGTAAAATTGTTAGGCTGAATACAAAATTGGCAGAAGTCCAAGAGAAAATGAAATTGTAACCCTTGTGGATAAAGTTTACCTTTTTAACTCTTGAGATCTTATTTGCATCTCCTTTGAACAGATGGCCATATATTATCACGTAACTTCAGAAATATATGGCTTTAATTAATTGTAAAAGAATATTCAAGTAATATGTACCTCAGATCAACCTATCACATAATATAGCAGACACTAAGATGCACTAACCAGATCATCCTTGGAGCCTTCATGAGGATCTCTAGAGAAATTACTGAAAGATTGTCTCAAACTTTGATTTATTCTGCTGAGGCCCAAGAGTGAAAATGATTGAGTGGAGTAGATACTGGGGAAGGAAAAATCTGCTTCTCGGCCTCCAGCCTCTAGTTTTCCCAACGTCAGGTTCTGTTCCAGTTGCACAGTGTCTCACTTCAGCTCTGGGGCAGCCAGTACTCAGGACTGAGCTAGATGTGTTCCAGGCTGTTTGGTTTGATGTGGAATGGCTCTGACTTGCAATTCTCACTCCAGAGCTCCTTCCTTAATTGTACAAACTTTCTTGAGCCTGCATAGTAATGATGATTTCCTTCTGCCCACTCCTAATTCTTCCCCTTTCCTTTTACAAAAATCAGTCCCTAATAAACGTCTCATAACCCTCCAATTTCTGCCTCAGCATGTGCTTCTGAATCTTCAACTTGTGACTCACAATGTTTCAGTATAACATTTGAAGAATTACTGTGTGAACTGGATTGGATAGCTCAAGAATTTCAACAGGAATATAATAGATATTTATTGAGAATTTATTATGCTCCAAAAATTGTAAGTACTATATTCCTATAAACTATTTTAATACTTAAAACAACTCTATAAGTTTTTCAAACCACTTTTACAGGAATTTCAAGTAACAGATCTCATAGATAGTGAGTAGTAGAAAGAGAAATAAAACCCAGACAGTCTGGTCCAAGACTTGCTATTTATACCAAAAAAAAAAAAAAAAAAATCACAAGGAGTTTGTACCTGAAATTTTATCTGGTAGACAGCAGTTTTGGCCAGTAATTTTTAATTGGAACAGAAAAAAGTAAAAAGGATTTGGTTCAATAGAACATTATTCCTGAAAGGTAAGAAACAAGATTTTAAAATTATTTTGTTAATTAAATATAATCATGGTGAATTTATTAATGGAATGTTTTCATATTGACAAATTATTTAAAAGTTCATGAGAAAGAAAATACCAATAATAAATAAGAAGTAAGAGAGGCAAGTATGTAAAAAGAAGTATTAATAGGTTGTTGGTATTAGAGAGAAATTAGAGAGAGAGGCTCTGTCTGTCGTGCTGATCTGCAGTGAGCTGTCCTGCTAATCCAAAGGCCTTGCTTCTCCAGAGCTCTGAATCCACCAGTGCCTCTGCAGTGGAAAGACAGGCAGTCTCTCGCCATTTTTATTTATTGCCTTGGGAACTAAATGGAGGTTCACCACAAATAAACATACCCGAACAGTGAATTTGAGAACTACAGGACTAGTACAGAGATATTAGCTACTATTACATTTGTAAAAAGAAGTCCTATAGTCAGGTACTTTTTAAAAAAGAAAACAGAAGAACAAATGACAATAGCTACAAGAGAATTATTTAAAATGCTAATTTACACAACTATGTAAAAATGAATCTTAAGTCTTCATCATACATCACTGTTGTTGCTGTGTACAATAGAGTCATGACCAACCCATAGCTGACCCTCCGGCGAGTTTTCAGAGGTAGTTAATCACACAGGAGATTGCCCATCCTTCTCCCTGGAGCAGCTGGTGGCCTCGAACCACATGACTTCGGGATTGCAATGAAGCTTCTTTCCCTTAGGCCACCAGAGCTCCCTGTACATTATACATCACAGACCAAAAAATTGCAAATTGATTGAAAAGTTTAAATTTCACCTAAAAGATTATTAGACAAATCTGAAAGAAAGACAATGTGTTATGAATTGAAGGTGAGAATTTTAAGGGTACCTGAAAAAAAGTAAATGAAAAGGAGGAACACCTAACTACATAAATATTTTAATAATTATGTTAAAAAAATCCTATCATAAACTGTAATAATCAACTGAAAATAAAAATATTGCCATATAAGTTGTCTTTATGTGCAGTCAAGTAGGCTATGACTCATAGCGAGCCTGTGAACAATAGCTCTGAACCCTGCCCTATCCTGAGCCAAGTGCACCGTATCTGACACACCTGCCCCCACTATCACTGTGTCCATCTCATTCAGCTTCTTCCTGTGCTGTGCTGACCATCCAGCCTTCTGAGCATGAACATGCCACATACAGAACTGTAAAATTCTTTGTGACTTTAACAAGAGATAGAAAAACTATGATGACTAAGAAAGAAATAATTAATGTAAATGAAAATATCTACTACATTTCCTTAACTTTTTAAATAAATTAACTAATCTAGTTTACATAATACATTAATCCCTTTAAAGAATGCAGTGAGAATCACATAGGAGGAGATTGCTCATCTTTCTTCCACTGAGTCATTGGTGGATTGGAACTGTCAGAGAGGCATCATTATAGCACAACTCCATGAAGACTGTCACTAAAGATATAAGATGATAGATAGATAGATAGAT